GACCAGGAAAAGACGGAGAAAATGCGATGGATAGATGGAGTTAGAACGTGCCCTTATTGGCAAAGTCGCAAAATCTCTTCGAATAGAAAGAACATGAGGAAACTATATCTAAAATTAATTAAAAAGTTACTAACTTTAGGTGTAGTATTAGTTCCAGTTTTAGTTTTACTTTGTATTTATAGTATTTTACTCAATATTAGATGTTGGTAGGCATAATATTACTCAGTGACATTATTTGTTTAATTTACTCTGGATTCCAAAGTTAGTTGCAAGTTCTACCTTAGACGCTTCTTTCGTGAGTTGGAGAACACCTGTCCCACTCTGCTGAAAATTTATTAATTTTTACATATAATACCGGGTGTTTCATGTAAAATGACATATGCTTATATCTCAAAAACAAAAATTCGAATCGAAAAAAGTTTCAAGTAAACATTTCTTGGTGAGAAGGATTGTACACATGAACAGAATTTTTTTCAGGGTTGCCTAAAGGCCCTTCTGACGTCATTTTTATTTTTTCAAATGGCACATATTAAAAAATTTCTTAAACTCTCCGTTGTGAAGATATCAACAAAAACAAAAATAAAATAACATGGTTCAAAATGTAATTAAAAATAGTTATTTATATTACAAGTGGGCTAGAAACTCGTGTGATTACACGACTCGGTCTACGACCTCGTCGTGCAATTCTCCACACTCGTACTGTAATTATGCTCTAGCCCACGTGTGATATACAGCATTTTATCTACGACTGCTAAAAATTACTAAAAAATCAATTTCTTTAGAAAAGTCTATTTGACATTTATAAAAATATTTTGAAATGATTATTGACAATTTTGAATTGTCAGTTTCAACAACATGTTTACTCATCTGGAATAAGTGTTTTGAAATGTAAAAACATAACAATTAATGTTTATAATAAATAGTATTGTTTCTCTGTAAGTAGATAGCACTTTTTCTTTTGTATTGTTGCTCGTTTCAATAAATTAAGTCTGTTCTGATTTGGCTAAAAATGCGTTACGTAATGAAACCAGTGCGGTAATGAACTTCATTACGTAACTCAAATCACCTCAAATGAGTGCGGTAATGATGACTTATCCAAACAGTCGTAGATAAAATTAATTTATAAAAAAAACGATTTGATTAATCGTAAAATAATATTAAAATTCTGCTTAACTTTTGAAATTGTCTTAGAAAATTGATTAAAAATTTTTTTTTAATGTTTATAAATCGAGTAAATCCTGTTCTAAACCTTGTTTGGATGTGCGCTAACTTGCGCGTGGGATAAAAATGTCAATCGAAAAAATCATTGTAATCAAAGCAAAAATGGAGCACTTCCCTATTCCACAGAAAATTCAGATGGTGTTAACTTACGGTGAAAGACGTGAAAATTTCGCTGAGGCCCATCGCATTTATGTTCGAAAATTTCTGGAATGTGGTAACGTGGAGGAAAGAAACGAACACGTGCAAGATCGGTTACAAATGAACAGAATCAAATAGCTGTTTTAACAGCTGTAGATGTTAATCCTTATGGAAGTTGCCGTCAATTGTCAAAAGATTCAGGCATTTCGAGTGTACATCGGATTTTCAAACTTAATAAGTTTCATCGTGTGCAATTTTGTACTTGAGCTATGGGAAAATTAAGATATAATGTAAATTTTTTCTTCAATGTACTATTTTCCGACGAATCCTCTTTCACCAATCACGGCCAAGTAAATCGTCATAACATGCCCTACTGGTTATATGAAAATCCTCGTTGGCTAAGACAAGTTGATCATCAAAAACCTTGGTCAGTTAATGTCTGGTGCGGCATTGTTGGCAATAAAATAATTGGACCTTTTTTTATTGATGGCAATTTGAATGGCAGAAAGTATCGGAATTTTTTGTTGAACGATTTACCGGTTTTGTTGGAAGACCTTACTCTGGAGCGAAGACTTGCGCTATGGTATCAGCATGATGGATGTCCATCTCATTATGCTCTAGCCGCAAGAGAAGTTTTAGACGAAATGTTTCCTGAAAAATGGATAGGACGTAATGGACCGGTGAATTGGCCAGCTAGATCACCCGACTTAACTTCTCCCGATTTCTTTCTTTGGGGTTACCTCAAAGAGAAAGTTTACAACCAGGTTCCAACAACACCAAACGATATGAAAAACCGTATCAGAGCAGCTTGCGAATCAATAACTGAAGAAATGCTTGGCAATGTGCAGAGAACGTTTTCAATGAGAATTTAGAAATGTTTAGAAGTGAATGGTCATCATTTTGAGCATTTAA